CTGTCGTAAAATCTGAAGCTCAAATGCTGCCCAGTCAAAAATGCTGGAAATAGTTCTTTCAAGTCATATAAACACTTGGGAGATTCTGAGAGAAGAAATAGCTGGAAATAGTTTCAGATAAAAGAAACTTTCATGCCAGCTGGCAAAAGACAAACAGATGGATCAGATAGATGGATAGACAGGGCTTTAAGCCACTTTTGTCTCAGCAGTGGGCTGGGCTTGTATATGCAATGTCTGAAGGCAGCATATCACATCATCTGACCCTTAAATGTTAGCTTTATGAAATCATATCAGATGAAGCTGCAGTCTTCAAAAGCACCTCTCAGCCTGGCAGGATTTTCACTCTCTTCTCAGAAGCACCTTCAGCAGGCCTTGGGACAGTTTGGCACTCATGCAGACCACTCAGGTTCTCCCCTGCTCCGTGCATCAATCCAACCTCTGTCGAAGCGCAAGAAGGTTTGTTATGGTGCAGGGAATTTCACAAATATTTAGTCAAGACACTTCTGTTCCCATAGTGCAACAGCAGTGGGGTAACCACAGAGGGTGAAAAATGAAGAATGCTGTGAAGGCTGAAGGGAAATCCCCCCAAAGCATGTTTGATATGCTTTAACAGAAACTCACAGAAGGCAGGATGTGATGCAAACAAAACAAACCAGGGTAAGCATGCTATATTTTTTGGTAGCCTGTGCAGCTTGAGAAAGGTGATGTTTAGTTTCAGCTGTGCTTTTGATGCCTGAATTGAAAGATGCCAAACTGAGCCACCTCAGGATGAGAATTACACCTTGACTGGTGGTGATGGGCCTGAGCCACAGGTTTGCATGAACCCACTGAGGTTTGGTTATAGCCAGACACCCACTCGTCACCACCTACTTGCTTTTTATATAAGATGATTATGATGGGGGATTAGGCTGTCCCCAGTACTGGCAGCTCATTTCATGTGATGTTTGTCACAAATTGCAAGGACCATGGTCCCCACAGGCTCCCTCCAGTGGCTCTTCCCCTGGGACTTAAGTGGGTCACTGCCAGCGTGACATCCCAGTTCTGCTGGATCACCAGCCAAAGCAAACCCAGAGTCTCTGCAGCAGCTCAACTAGTGCAAAGAGATTACAGAAATTTGGAAAGCTTAAAATAAGTACAATGACTGGAAGATTTCTTTGAGAAATGTGGGGTTTTTGCTGTATTTGAACTATGTGTCCCTGAAGATCTCATGTCAAAATGGAATTGTGTAATGAATGTTAAATATTTATCAAGAAATTCACAGTTGAAAGTGGTTTGCAATGACAGATCAAAAAAGAAAATCACCTCTGCACCGCTTCTATTTTCATTTTTTTATGACACATAAATTCATCCAGAAGGACTTCAATACTCACCTTTATAGATGTTTCTGCTTTTCACATCAGACATCTTGTTTGAGAGGACTCTAAGTTACCAAAGACATGGCAGGATTACACCATCAAAGTTGCAACATTGAAGCCCTGGTGTGACTAATCCCCACATAAATGGGAAAGACCAAAGATGGGCAATCTCTGCAGTGGGTAGGTGCAGAGCCAGACCGTCTCTTCCAGCCCACGGGTGCAGGGGAAGCATGTCCCATCCACACAGGAACAGCCTTGGACAGGCAAGAGTCTCTGGCACCCTCTTGCTTGGGTCCCTTCATAGGGATAGAGGCACAAGTGGCCCTGCGGCACAGCGGGGCTGGCCTCATGGTGGTCCCCCTTACATCAGGGCAGCGTGGTTTAGGGTAAGGGAGTTGCTCCCAGGAAGAATACTGCATTCCTTCTTTGCTTTCATAAGCATGTTCATGGAAAAAATCCTCCTTTGTGTAAGGCATAAGATCCCTTTTTACCTGTGGCCTTTGAAAGACAAGCATAACTGTCTTCCCTATATGAACTGCACCTTAGAGAGCACACGAACTTCTAGGTCCATCCAAGAAGGAGCTGTCGGAAGAAGACATCACCAAGTGCACTTCTCTTTCCTGTGGGCATCATTTGGCCATGACTCACACAGCTCAGCTGAAGGGCACTGATGATGTGTCTGGATGATGCAATGACCTGTGTCAGGTCCAACACCCCAGCACTAGTTTTCAGAGTAAGTATGCTCATTTTTGCTTTGCAGAACCAGTCTAGCCAAAACCTTGTATGAAGTTGGTCTAAGCCCTTCCCCAGCACAGAGCAGGGGTGGCTGATCCAGGCTCACCCAGGGGTCAGTGTGGGCCCCTTTCTCTTTCCACCTGAATTCATTAATTAAGGGAAATATGAGAGGGGTGACTTGCTGTTTGGAGGGACTTACCCTGCAGGGCAGCTTTTCCTGTGGTTTCTGCCACTGAGCTAACAGCACAGGGACCAGAAACACGAGATGTGAATTAAAAATCAAAAAGAAGCAAGACCTGCATCTTTCACTGGCATGAAACTCAACTATGAATAGGCAAAACAGTTCATCACAGCGATTTCTGAAGGTCAGGACTTCATGAGGGGATGGCAATCAGCAGCTGACAGCCAAAGGGAACCCAGATGTTTAAGTTGCATATTGCGCAAATTTGATTGAGAAATCAGAGAAACCTAAAAAGCACAATTCTGTTATTCTACATGCAGAAATTTTTGTAGGTTAAAAAACGCACTTGAAGCTTTTTTTTGCAGCTTTGACCTCAGCAAATGGCAGTTGTTCAACTGTCAGTAGCAGAGTTGTGAGCTCCAGTGATTTATTGCAAGTTTCATGCTAGCTGATATTTCTGACAGCTTGTAGACTCACGTGAATAAATCAGCATTTCAGCTTTTATCAGCATAAGTTTCTATGCTTTCTGCTAAAATAAAGGAAAATAAATCCTACAAACATGCATACCAGGAGTCAGCCAAATGCCAGAAGCTGCTACCTGTAAAACCAATCATTTTTTTTTTAGTTGATCATATAGAGTGGGACATAACACTCAATCTTTCTTAACGCCTGGAGTTACTTTTAGATTCTACCCTAGATTGTACTTTCAGATTGCACAGGTACATTTGGACTGCGCTATTATTTTGTCACAGGCTCCGGTGCCCTTAGTACCTGCGCTTGTGACTCACTACAACACCACAAGGCGTTGGAGGATCATCCACCTCCGCTGGCATCCAGTGAAACCTTGTGCAAAACCTTCACCAGGATTTGCAGGAGATATGTCTGCTCTCACTGCCTGTTATTGGAAATCACCAGGAGTCTCCAGGAAATGCCAGTCAGAAAGGGCTGGAGGCAGCATCAAAGTAAAAATAAATCCCAACCTAGCATATGAGAAGATATTTAGTATAAAGGAATACTTACAGTCCTGCTCTGTGCTTTAGGCACAGTGTTTGACAAAAGTGGTCTTACCAGCCTTTTTCATTGCTAAAACGATGCACGTCAGTTGGACTGCAGAAGCAAAAGGCAGTCTGATAAAACAGATGGCTGGTTCCTGAACCAGGCTCTAACCCTCACTACAGAACAAGTCACGTTGAGCATTTGCCTGTAACACCAAGGCCATTTACAAGTACCTTTCAAAGCAAATAAAGGTCACCACTGGCCACAATAAGAGTTGGATCCAGATGAACTGCTGCACCCAATAACCCACTTTCCTACCAATTTTTCAAGAGATATGAAGTTTGTACAAACCTTTAGAGAACAAAGACTTTCACTTGCAGCTCCACTGAATTCACCATCCTGCCCCAGCACTATAAACAAAGCAAATACCTTGAGACTTGCATACTGCCCTGGCCAGGACAGCACAGGGCTTTCCTCTTTTTGCATAAGATTAAATAATTCCTGGTTTGCAAGGTGTGGTCGGGCAAAAGGAACAGCTTGTTTTCTTTAATTAATCTTGGTGCTCTTTGTATCTGCACTTTCTGTAATAGTTTCAGGTGCTATTAGCTATCGGGAATATCTGCTTCAAGGTATAAGCAGTGAAAGTTCTCAATCTGTCATCCCCCACGGGGTTTTAAAGCCTCCTCTCCCAAAATAGGTGTGAGGCCTTTTCCCACAGATGCTCCAGAGCAGACCTATTTTGATCACCAAAATACTAAACCCATAAAGTCAGGGGGGAAAAAAAAAGACAGAAAGCCTTTCAAATCAAATGAATAAGCCAAGGGTGAAAAAATAGACTCAGTCATCTCTCCTACCCATTTAATGAACAGCATTCCACTCCAGAAACAGCACACACACGGCAAACCACTCCAAGTGCCTGTTTACAGCCCAGCTCCTGCAGCTGCCCCTCTCCTGCCCTCCCTGCTGGGACATGGCTGTGCCCGTGCCCCTGCCAGTGGAGTGCTGGTGGGCAGGGCTGCGTGCGGAGCAGCTCTGCTCCCCAACAGGGGCCGGGCTCCAGCCAAGTGTTTGAGCAGACAGACACTGGAGTGAAAGGAGCAGGACTGGTTGTGCTTCAAGATAAGATTGTCTGCCAGGGCTTTGTTGGAGGCAGCCTTGCAGATGCAGGAAGGAAAACAAGCTGTAAAGATGGTAGAAGGAGAAGGGAAAAGACATCCCAAGGGAAGCAGCACTGGCAGGAGACAAAGAGCTCCTCCTCAGTGAAGGGCACTAACAAAATTGCACAGCACAAGTCATGTCCTACCTTAAGAAGCCCCCTTGCCCCACTCACTTGTGTGTTCTGCACCTCCCTGGGCAGCCAGTGCTGGGACAGGGTGCCAGCGACCTTGGCAGCAGCTGGGACAGCCCACCCACACCCCACCTCGCCTGCAAACACAGTCCCGTGCTAGCAGCTGGGACACTGACTGCGAGGCCACCTGCAGCAGGGGCTGCTTTGCTCTCGGTGACAAAACCTACCTGGGAAACAAGCTGGGGCGGCTACTGACCCAGCTGGTATTTCACAGCAGCAACAGCAGGAGAAGCACCTGATAGCACTGTTTGGAGGAAGATGATCAAATGCTGCTCCTGCAGGAGAGGTGGAAGGTGAAGGACAACAAGAACAGCAGCATCAGCCCAGGAGCCCCTGCTGCTAACAAACTGAGCACAGCATGGACACACCTGCACTCACGTCCTGTTCACTTGTTTTGGTTGCTTGGTTGTTTCTCCAGATTTAGCCTCCTATTGCATCCCTGGGTCAGGCCCTGCATTCAGTCTGTCCCATGCCTGTAGAAAGAGAACAAGGACCTTCACAGAGGGTCCATGGAGGTCCACTGCTTCTTTGTAGATTGAAGTTTTGCTGCTTGAACATCTTGCTTCAAGCAAGCCAAGGATGCAGGGGAAATCCTGGTTCCAGTTTAGCTTAAGCTAGTCCTATGCAGCCCAGCCTTGTGCATCCACCTGTCCTACAGGTATTTTATGCAGCATAATTTCCTGGTTTGCACATCTCCACTTGCTTATAGTCCTTTCTCCATTGCCCCAAGCCACTACAATGGGAGAATGGAGTTTCCAGCTGGACAGTGGATGGTGTGAGGGAGGGGAGCCCAGGGGCAACAGGGTTTTCCACGTTCAGGTGGGAGACAGCAACGCACAATGTGTTGTTTTGGTTCTTCGTTGTTTGGAGGCTAAAACCAGCACCTGCAGCCCCACAGGAGCTGAGAGCAAAGGGAGGAGCTGTGGGGTTGGGATCGGCACAGTCCTGTTTGTACTTAACAAGTGATAAACTTAATGAGGCAGACGAGACAAGATAATCCACACAGCTTCCTGCTGCACTTCTTTTGCCTGATGCATCTTCAAGTTAAACCAGCACCTTGCCCTCACGTGGCTGAGCTGCAGTTCCTGGCATGCACTGGACCTCAGGCACAGGGAGCAGCAGGACCCGGCCAGAGGGTCCCCAGCTGTGCCAGAGCACACATGGGCAGTTGCACAGCCCCAGGGACCCGGGGAAGGCAGGGTACTTATAGTACTTACAGGGCTGCTACTTTGTGCCCTGAGGCTCAAGGTCTTTTTTTATCAGAACAAGGAAGAGAGACTTATGCTAAATACCTGAGTTTGTTTAATCCACTGTACAGAAACAAAATCCTGAGAGGTTCAAAGCTCCAGTGTTTATTCTATCAGTCTTATTTCTGGGCTAAATAAACCATCAAAATCTAAGTCTCAGCTGAAAACATCTAAACACAGTAGTTGAAGCTGATGAATAGTTAGTGTTTGGCAAAGACAAAGCATGAATCCATAATTATTGTAAGATGAGTCACCTGGAGAAACCAGAGCAGTAGCCAACAAAATGCCTCTTTGAATAACTCAATGAGAATGAAGATGCCTAGAGATGCACACATCAGCAACACCACATCCTCAGCCCTGCCAAGGCCGGAGAGGGGCAGGCAGCACCACTCCAGCTCTGAAGAGGCTGTTTCAGACCCCATTTGTCACCTCTGACCAAGGACCCCATGCCTGTCTCACCAGAAGCCCATCCCTGGATACAAGAGCGGTCTGACACCCATATTTCCCTCCGTGACTCATAGGATTGGACAAGTCAGTCTTTTGCAGACAACAAAAAAGATAAAAATCATATTGCTTGGGTGTGTGCCAAGCTATTATTTCACCCAGTTAGAGTCTTGAACTGCTGAAAGTTAAAAGGATTTCCTCTGGAAAGAGAACATTCCCCAGCCAGAAAGTCTCCAGAAAGGTACAGGCGCAATAACTCCTGGCATTTGGTGTTAGGAAACAAGCGTCTAGACAAAGCCGCCTTCTTTTGATTTGTTTTGGATGACATTTTTAAAACATGCTACAGTACAGATCCTAGAACTTGAATTTCTATTTTTACACTCTTGATACCTGTGACAGGTTCACATGTCCAGGACGTGCTGGGGATGATTTCTGCATCTTTGGTTATTTTTATTTAACCACCACAGTCTAAAGGTTCTATACCCCCTGGGGTTTGAAGGGATGGATATCACTATTTGCATATCACTATTTGCATGGACGCGCTGTCAGGCAGGAACAAGAAACGAGTTGGCTGCACTGATCCCTGCAGCTGGAACTGCCCCCTGGGGACACCACGTGTAGTTTTGGCCCCATGTCAGTCCTGCGTGAGAAACCTCAGCTGGATTTGAGGGGCATAAGGGGCTCCTGCACAGGGGTCTCACAAGAAAGTGCCCGAAACCTGGTGCAAAGGTTCAAAAAACTCCCTCATGAGCTGCATGTGGCACATCTGGGTCTGGGCACAGGAGCTCTGTTGGCACCTCCTCTCCCACACGTGCTTGCTGTCAACCAAGCAAAAACATGGTGAATTGCACTAAGGGGAAGTACAGTTTTTACCTTGTCCTGCTGTTCCCAGGGGGTCATGGGCAGGCTGGCCATGGGGAGGAAGCACGATCCCCTGCCACAGCACTGCCCATTGTTGCTTCAGCATGTTGCAATACACTGACTGAGCAACTGGCAATTATATTGCATTTATCTGCAGTGTTATGGTGTTATGTTCACAGCTGTCTAAACAGCAGCCTGTCTCCTTTCCACAGTAGCTTCCATTTTGCATGGCCTTGCTGATCCTGTGGCAGAGAACAGCAGTAAAGCCTGAGCTCAGCTCAGGTTTCAGTGCTGCCCTGCACCCAACCAGTGGCACACCAGTTTTTAAAAGGTCATTTTTAAACATGCTTCTACATCCCTACAAAAGCAAACCTCTTCTTGCCACCCTGCAAAGGGAAATGTTTTGTGTTTTGGCACAGCTTGTTTTAATTCCTGTTCAAGAAGAGGGAATTTAGTGTGGCTGCTCTGAGACTGGCTGCAGTTTTATCGAGACATTTCATCGTGGACTTAGACAACCTTGCTCATAGCCATTGTGCTGTCAAACAGGTTTCCTTCCTCTTCTTCACAACACTTCTACATCACATCCTATTTAGAGCTCTTATAGTGCTTCATAAATAATGCGATAATGAGAGCCCTGTACACTTGTGGGATTTGGGAGGCATTATCTCAGTTTTTAAGAGGTGGAATGTGAAGATCAGAGATTAAAGGTGGCAAATCCAACAGGCTGTGATCCAAACAACAGGAGTTTTCCTAACTCGTTCCCTTTAAATTTTGAGCCCCTTCTGGCTTACCAACAGTCAGCCCAGCTTTCCCACTCCTTCATCCCAGCACTTCAGTCCTGCCCCATTCCTTCTCTCCACAGTAGCTTAGAAATTTTGCACAAACACTTCATCATTTGCCCCTCACTGCATTTTCCTTGAGCTCTGTTGAGAAAATGTTGCTGTTTCCATTAGCTTGTAACTGGGATGAGAAATTAAACATCAGAAAATCTTTCTACTGTAGATTAATACTATTGAAAACCTGGAGTCACTGAACATAGAGATGCTCACTGCTATAAGAGGAATAACCTTTTGCTTAAGAAACATGACCGAGTGCAAAGGACACAAAGAGAAAATGAAAGCTCAGAGCTAGGACACACCATGGGGGACAGGCCCTCACTGCAGAAGCTCCTGGAGTTCCAGCAGGGGTTAATTAAGCATAAGCAAGTGGACAGAGCATTTGGCAGCACTCCCTGCTAGAGGCAGCCTCAGGCTCAGGGCACCACCAGCTCCCCAGGGGCAAGGCTGAGGGCTGCACATCACACCCTGTGGCTGGAGAGGCTCAGGATCTGAACCTGGAGACTAAGAAAACAAGATTTCTATCCAAAATTTTATGTTACTTCAAAAGACGACATGCTGTGGTGCTTCTCCCTGAGGAAGACACAAAGCTACTGCTGAGCTGTCTGTCGCTTATAATAAAATTATTATTTTTTCCAGAGAAAGTGAAGTCTCGCTGCAGGATGTGGCACAGACAGCAGGAAGTTGACTTGTGGGATTTTTCATGTGCAGAAACAGCTTGTGAGTGATGGGCAAGCTGAAGGCTTTACTTGAAAAACAGCAGTAGTTCTGTCTCTTCACAGCAGGCAGGATTCATGACCCCAGAGCAGTTACCTCTGTCTCCAACCTCAGTCTCAGCAGGCATGTCTCACTGCAGGGACACAAAATCCCAGGATAGCTCTGAAGAGCTCCTCCAGTCCAGATCAGAAAGGCCAGTGCCTGGAGTGGTACAGAGTGCCTGCCTATCTCATTCCCTGTGGCAGGAAAAAACAAGGTCCCTGTGCTTGGCTTCTGATGCCCAACAAGAGCTGCTGCATAGGCACGGACACTTGGAAGACATGCAGAGGGTGTGTGTCTGTGGGTGGAACAATTGGAGGATGGCTGGAGCAAGCAGGATGCCTGCAGGCAGCAAGAGATACCTGAAAGGAAGCACACATTCATGGCCTGTAGGCAGTGGGGTGAGGGACTGCTGTGGGACAGGGCTGCAGCAATGTGTCCCCCAGACACCCTCCAGCAATGTTCCCATGCAAACAAATCCTCACGCACAGGGAATGCTACCAGGCAAATTCCCAAGCTACAAACAAACAAACCCCCAAACATCTGTTTTCCAAAAGACTATAGTATTAGCCTGAAGAAAACACTAATTTTCCTGACAAGGGCTTTCATGGTGCAAAGTAGCAACTCAAAAAGCTGGATGGCATCTCTCTGGTGAAAGAGTGTCCCAGCAAAAGCAGACAGTGAGCAGCCGCTCTGCTCACCAATGCCTGTTCCGCAGAGCACTGCTCGATTCCAAACAGGAAAAAACCAGCAGAAAACTCCATCACTTTAACCTTGCCAGGCACTTTGCCACTTGGATTCTGCAGCTGAAAGCCAGCATGGCTTTCCTTTGGAGTCAGTGTGAATAACAAGAAGCAGGTAGGAGACCCAAAGGACCTCAGCCCAGAAGCAGTTGGACCCAGTACTTCACAGAACTGGTCCTCTCAGAGGGAACACAAAAGATTGTCACCAGCCCAGAGAGAAAGTCTTCACTGTCCCTAGATGAGCACCTGGCAGCTCCCAGAAGCTGGGCTGGTGGTTGTCTCCCTGGCCAGAGTGAAGGCTGTGTAGAACCCCTTCCCCAGCAGTATCTGTAACTGCACAGTGAAGGGGACTGATGGCTACTAATTAAGACTTACTGTGGGCTGTGAAGGAAGGTTGCCTGCCCCTCAAGCTCTCAGTCAACATGAGAACAGATTTTCAAAAGCTGAGTGAGCATAGGCCATATTACATTGCTTTCAAACTGCCAACCACCCCTTTGAAACGCCCTCATTCACTTTGTTCTAGGCTTAGCCCTAGTTCATCAGCCATTTTCCACTGCTAGCTTTGGTTTACAATAACCCCTATTGGTAAAATGCTCCAAGGATCATATTATCATTTTAGCTTCTTCTGTTGCACAGATCTCACTGTTCTGCTTTAAGTGCCATTGTCAGTCTGGCTAGCTCTTCTTTCTGCATTCAAACAACTCAAACCCTCTATCCCTACCCTAATGTTAGTTTGGGGATTTTGGTTTTGCTGTATCAATAGATGAAATAAAAGATCCAGTTTTGGATGAATCTCCTCCTTTACAAAAACCAGTGACCCATAATACAGGCTCTACATAAATGCCTTTGTTGCACACTTATTTCTTACAGGAGAGGCTGTACAAGCCTTAAAACTACCATAAAAACATTAAAAGGTTTGCATGCCAATTAAAGGCCTGTCACATTTCTTAAGTAAGAGTCACCACTTCTCTGTGCAAAGAGGTTATAGTATTTCCCAACTATACCTGTAGGTTTTATTATTATTTTAAGGTGCAAGACTGTACACAAATGCCCAGACCTTCGTTTGTGAAAAACTATGCGTGAGCAAACCAATCTTATCTGCTTGAACTGATAACCAACTTGAAATGCAGTTACCCTGGCTTACAGTGACTGCAGTCTATCACCACTGTTTATTTTCACTGATCATATTTAGCACTTGAGCTGAATACACTTATCAGTGTTTCAGCAGCGGCCCTTTGAGATATGCAGCTCATTGTTTTGAAGATGAGGAGTTTAACAGTTCAAACTAGAACTCAGAGTACTTACTTCCTTACCTGTTTAAAAGAGGTGCAGGCAGATAAATGTATGGTCTATCCAGCACTAAAAAGTTTTAACACTTGCTTCCTCTTCTCCACCCAGTATTTCTGGGTCATACACATCTTGAAAGAGAATAAAGTAGAAGCTCTAGCTGAGTTGATATTAAAATCAACACTCCCAACACCAGAGCAGGAAAGGCAAAGATATGCTGCTTCATGACTGAGCTCCAGTGGGCTGCCTTGTGAGATGTAAGCTGGCCTGCACTGGACATTGGCTTGCAATGACAAACCACTAAAATGTGCTACATAAGGAAATAGGTGAATCTGATTCCCTTGTTATCAAAGCAATATACAAAAGGAAGGAAAAAGTGGCCATGCAAAAATAACTTCTCTCCGTTTGGATCCTGATTAGACTTACTAATCAAATGATGTTCATACAAATTTTCTGATTAGGGTAAATTATATAGGACAGTTTCTGAACAGCACATACATAATTTATCTGATACTTTTGAGGAAGCAACTACATTAACAGTTCAGAGGAAACTGAACTCTCATATCTGGTAAGGATTTCTGCTTGAAAATGCATTTACAACAAAAACCTGAAGGCACTAATGGCCAAGTCTTCCATCTCATTATGAATACTTTTTAATACCTTTGCTGCCAATTAAAACATTTCAGCTTAAATTCGTCTTACTTGTCTAGCAAAAAGCAGATGAACTGGAATGGTCTCACTATTCCCAGGCAGTCTCAATTAGAGCAGTTAAACTCACTGCAACCTTCCTGAGGGGAAAAAAAAAAGGCAGTTCATATTCTTGATAGAGGTACTGCATTAATAAAATGTTACCAATCTTGCTAGGGGTTTGGTATATCCACTTGCACTAAGAGGTCATAAGCCATGGGCAGTTCCATACCAAGAGCTGGTCAATAATCTGTATTCCACAGAAAAGCACCAGCTATTCTGGCTGCAGAGTTATCAAAGGTTACCCAGATGAAGAAACTGATTTTTTTGTGTAGGTGATAGCCTACCACTACACCTAGAAAAAATATTCATGTTAATTAATAAACTGAGTGATAAGCACAGTTAAATACAAATTGTTTCCTTTCCCACCAAATAAGCTTCAAGAGCTTTAGAGTCTTGATCATCTGATGCTACTTCAGCACATCTGTATCCCCACAGAGAATGGTAGGATTGGCAAATGGCTGATTTCTGCTATTAATAAAACACTTGTCTTTTCTGCTTCTTTATCAGATAGCTTAAGAAGTAGTTTTGCTTTAGTTTTTTTGGATTTGTTTTTTTAAATCAAGTGAAGACAGTTGCCACAATCACCAAAACAATTTGAAAGCTACCTGATGTTAGTTCAAAACATGACTCTTGTCAGTCAGTGCAGCAAAACCAAAATGTCTGGAAGATGATTAAAAAAGGCTTTATCAGGGGAACTACAGTGCAGACTCAATAAACACACCTCAGCTGTTCCACATATCTTTGATATGCATAGATGTTTGTAACCATTTTATGGAGAATTTAAAAATATTATAACCTTTGAATTCTTTAGAGAATAAACTGCAACAGAACATTTACACATTTAGAGTTTTTGCTGATCATTCATTTAAAACAATAAATCTCAGTCCTGATAATGGCTAGAAAACCAGCAAACAAGTTTAAAGACAGATCTCCATAAAAACGGTTTTATTCCTTATCAGTGGAGATGGCTTGTGAAAAGCCAACTGTAAGCTTTTAAACAAAAGAAACTGCAAAAAACCAGCAATCCTCCTAATGAGCAGAGACACCAGGGTATCCTGTTCCAAGGCAGAAGACAGCTATCAAATCCATCTCCTTGCCCTCTTGCAACACAAGGAAGTTAGTTTTCAGCAAGAGGGTAAACAAATTTTGTTGGGAAATGCTACTCCAAAGCAGCTGTCCAAGGGCCAATGTTTTCCCCTGCTCCCGATCAGTCTTCATCCTCCTCTTTCACTTTCTTCTTTTTCTTCTTCTTTTTCTCTGCATTCTGCAAACAAACAAGTGTTGTCATGAACAGCATAAGGGAAAAGCAAAGCAACACAGGTAGCCAAGGCAACAGAGCTCACACCCGAAGCATCCCCTCAGCTGCCAGCTCAGGAAAGCACAATCCAAGAGATGTCCCTTCCTCAATCACTAAATGCACTGGCTGTTCCCAGCCCGGTGGGGGCAGTGGGCAAGGGAAGCTGTGTGCTGGCAGCTCAGCACTGTGGTCAGACAGTGCAGCTGCAATACACAAAGGGGAGAAAATGAAACCCCAGTTAAGAACAGGATTTCAGAACTGAGCAAAAAGTTTGGCCTGGTCCCATCTGCTCTACTGTTGCTGCGAGGCATCAAATGATGTTTCATCAAATCAGCAGGTACAGCCTCTGTTCCCTACAAGTCCTAAACTCTAGACTGATGACTGTGGATCGGCAACAAAGGACACTCTTCTCACTAGAAAAGATGCAAAAAGAGAGAAGACTAGAGGAAAAGGAGGGGAAACACGGAGGCATTACAGTCACTAACTTCCTAGACCGTATTCTGTAATGCAAATCTTCTTGGACATTACAGTGATGGATATCACAGAATAAGTTACTAGAGCAAGACCCCCTTTGCATACTATACAGGAATTTCCCCCCCCTTCACTCCACACTCTGTATGTTTTGGAGAAAACACATTCCCAAAAAGGAATGCAATTCAGCCTCACCTCAACTGTGGGGCTGGTGGGGAGTTCCTCATTCACTACCTCCTCTTCTTCAGCTTGCTTTTCCTTATTCTTTTTCTTTTTCTTCTTTTTGACAGGTTCATCATCTTCTACAGCTGTGCCTTCTGTAGCACAGACAGGACAAAAATGAAAAGCAGGTTGTCAGTTATTAAGAGTGCAAAAGGAAAAGTTACAAGATGTGAGAAGATGCAATGACGACAGTAAGAATGCAAAATACTGAATACCACGCTGCCCCTTCTTTAAATTTCTCTACATCTATTTACCATCTGCTTTGCCCTTACCTGCATGACTACTCCCTGCTATAATCAAAATATACAACTGCCTAATTCACAAGTGACAGTGTTCAGACAGCACTCTGCACATCTGGTACAAACACTGCTCCTACGTGCTGCTCCCAAAGTTTAAAACAAGCTTTCATGTTTTCATTTGTTTGCCAAATTATCTTCAAGTACTCCATCTGAAAAGAGACTGTCCACAGTTTTGCAAATATTTTCAGCAGCAGCAAAAGGACTCTAAACTCCACATGAGAAATGTGTTCAGTCAGCAGCAGTTCGTTCACAACTGATTTCCCAACCTTGATGTTGGAAATTTGCTAAGAAGCAGACTGGTTTTCTTTACTGTTTAGACTGGCAAACACAAAGATGTCTTAATGCTGAGCTAACATAAAGCATTTAAAGCAGAAACTTTCCTGCCCTGGAAGACAGGAATTATTTATATAAGCTGAGAGGAATGTCAACCCAGGGAAAGATTTACTAATGACCTTACAGTTACTTTTTAGAACTATTCATCAACAGCTGCCCTATCTAATCACAATGGTAATGGAACTATGATTTACCACTCATTTTCTAGAATACATACCACAGCCTTAGCAATCTCTAGGTAAAGAAACCAAGCAGGAATCTTACCAAGCTGACAGCCTATGCACCAGCCAGGCTGTTACTGGAGCATACCCAAGTCAAATTCATTTGCACAGCTGAGTCAGTGCTGGATACCAAGTTTCTCCATACATAGTACTCATGACTAAGTTCATGATGTAGCAACCACTGTCCTTCAGTAGCTACAAAAATTATGCTGAAATCAGTGGTGTTTGTGGTATGGACAGTTGCTACTGGGAGTGTGACTCAAGACATAATTTTCTCACCATATACCCCCAAAGGAAAGAATCAGTTTCATTTTGAAGAACTCACCACTTACAAAAAGAACTGTACAATTACAAAAAATTGTCAAACTACACAACCTCGTAACATCTTGACTGTACTTCGTCACAAGTTTAGTTCCTCAAGAAGTCAAAAATACACTTCAAACTTTGCCTCTAACATTAGCTTCAAAGAAAAATTGGCCTCAGGGTAAAAAAATTCTAGACATGTCTACATGAGAATACAGTCAGCTAACATGTGCAGTTTGCTGACATTAAAAAACATACCAGCAGCAAAACAGCAAAGAATTCCAAATAAAAGAACCAGCAAATATAATTTTAAGTGGATTCTGCCATACACATAATTCACAGTGAACAGTGTGTGAGCCTAAGGCATTCAAAATGTGTAAAGCTAAATATCCTCACCTCTCTCTGTATAACACAGGGAAATACAAAGTAGCTGAAAAGCCTAAATTACACTAAAGCCATACAGTACAACAGGAGCATACACATGGTATTTTGCTATGCAACACATTTTCACTCAGCTGGATTGGCAAGCTATGCATTTTCAAGCAAAATGTTGCGTGGTAACCTTGAAAAAATAACTTCTTGCTATTACCCTACGTGTCATCAAGTCTGACACATGAGGCAGTGAACCTGTCACAATTTACAGCTGCAGATGATGCACGGGGCACTCACAGACACTGCCACTCTCACAGCCAGCAGCAGACCCCTCCCTGAAGAGTTCAGTTGCTGCTTTCCAGTAAAGCTTATCACAAGACTTCACATATTTGTACCTAGGCAGAATGAGGACAAAGGCTCCAGGGGTGCTGGCCTTTTCCCTCGAGGTGCAGTACTTCTAAGTCACTCAAGGCCAGCAGGGTTTCTTTGTGGTACACAGCAGTTGACAAGGAAACCAACAGCTCTTGCTATCAGGCACTGAGGCACAGAAAGCAGCACCCAGAAGAGCAGTTTGATTGATGGCCCTGTGAGTGCTGGAGATCAGCAGTAGCAGTTCCACTCACCCATTTTTCACCATTTTTTTCTAGGCTTTTATACACCAGCCTGATGTGCCCTCTCTCCTCTACATGATGCACCACTTTACAGAGTTCAGTCACAATGCCTATCAATAAAGACATCCTGTCATGATGTTGCTGTCATTGAAGGCTTTGTATCTTGCAGGGTTCACTCCATTAATTTGAGATATTTCTCTTTCCAAGAGAGACCTTCCCAAATGACTGACTGCTACTATATCCTGATGCTAAAGGCTTCACTGCTAAAGGCGGAAGGCTTCACTGTGGGCACTGGCTAGCTCTGTTGGTGGTATGCATTCTGTCTAGACACATCCAACTTCAGACTGTAGTCACAAAAATACCTGCCCTATTTCCCTTCCCCTCAGCACTAAGACAGGTTTTAACAGACAAATCCTTCAGTGAATTTAACTTGTTTCAGGCACTAAAAAAGAAGGAACCGCTTGGTTTCTTTCTAGGTATAAAAGGTGAAAGTGGTTTGAAGTCATAGCTCACCCCCAGCCCCCCTGCCAGTTCCCACCCAAAGTACCGCCACCCATGCACCCCAAACAGGGAGATAAAACACCACACATTCTCATCTTGCAGTAACACTTACATTTTGGGGTAGCATAATGCAAAATATTGGCCCCCTTTACAACAGATATTAAAAGCAATAGTTTGACAAATCAATCAGTGGCATCATCCCAGATTCTTCCCGTCCTTTATGTTCCTCTTGTAATACAAACTGGATAAAAATGTATCTGGCTGAAAAATGCCTTTCTTTCCAGAACTACTTTTCCACCACCCCCATTTATCCTGCAGCTGCACAAACAGCATGGGGAAGGAAGGGGCAGAGGCTTCTTTCACAATGCACTGTCTGGATGCATAATCTTTGACCAGGCAAAAGCTTAACAGAGCACTGCATCAAAAGAGAATGGAGCCAAGAACAGCAGACACTAAAGGCTCATGCGTACTCAAGTGGACATGCAACATAAATCTTAATGCTGGGACCTCCTCTGCACTCTTCTGTGTAGTATCGGACTTGCTGAACTACTCTAATTTCTGGGACCACCACCAGCAACCCCCCTCTAGCACACTGTGCAGCCACAGAAATTATCCTGGGAAAT